TGAGGTGGTGAAATTCAGCTCTAGAGAAAACAGGGACAGTTAGGGATTATCACACACATAAGAATATAAGAAATTTACAAATGAGAGGAGGCCATTCGGCCCATCAAGCTCGTTTGGGAAGAACTTAATATAGCTCAAAATTGTTAGAATCTTATCTAGCTCTGATGTAAAGGAACCCAGGGTTTTAGCTTCCACTACACTAGCAGGAAGACTATTCCATACTCTAACTTCATGCTGTGTAAAGAAGTTTAAAATGTTCTCCCACTAATTTCCAACTATGGCCACAAGTTCTACTATTTAAACTAATATTAAAGTAGTCATATGGCTGATCAGCATCAAGACCTGTTAGAATCTTATATATCTGGATCATTCCCCCCTTAGTCTCCTTTGCTCGAGGCTGAACAGATTCAGCTCAGCTAACCTCTCCTCATAAGACATTCCTCTAAGACCAGGAATCATTCTCGTAGCCCTATGTTGTTCCCTTTCCAAGGCAGCAATGTCCTTTTTAAGGTATGGTGACCAAACCTGCACACAATACTCTATAGGTGGGGTCTTACCAAGGAAATGTATAATTGTAGCATCACCTCCCTTGACTTAAACTCCACACACCTAGAGATGTAACTCAACATCCTATTGGCCTTTTTAATTGCTTCCCCACGCTGGTAAGAGTGGGACATGGAAGCATCAACATACACACCGAGGTCTTTCTCATAATCAGCTACCTTTATTCAGTGGAACCCTTAAAATATCTGTACTTTATATTTCTGCTTCCTGCATGGATTACTTTACATTTATCTACATTAAATTTCATCTGCCAGGTATCAGCCCAGTCGCTAATTAAATCAAGATCCCGTTGTAGCCTCTGTAGTGCTAGTTTAGTATCTGGTACACCACCCACCTTGGTGTCGTCTGCAAATTTAACGAGTTTACTTTATGTATTGGTGTCAACATCATTCATGTAAATTAGGAATAATAGTGGTCCTAAAATTGAACTTTAAATTGAACTTTAATTGCCTTT